CAAGGGAAGGGGAAAAAAATAAGAACCAAGATATTCATGTAATGGTACAAGATCCCAATGATGAATGTAACTGTATTTTATACCTAAAATGGACCAATAAAGTTAATGGGGAAAAAATGAAAAAAAAATTCCCTCCTCTTTTCTTGTATCATATTCAGTCCCATTTTCATCTCAGATTAACATTTGTTCATTTTCAAAGTGCTCTAGAACTTGCTGGGACTCAGTTTCACAATTAGCAATAATAGGTTGTCCTGTTGATGAGATATGGGTATCTGGTTAGACCTGTCTCAATTGCTGAGTTAGTCTCCTAACACACAGGACGATATAACATCCCAGGAATGTTAGAACTCCTGTCACTATTATCATGGAAATTAATGTCGATGTAATCATCTGCTTCCATTTTCCAAACTATTTTTTCTAGCCAGTCTGTAAATGGATCATCTATTCCTATTTTCTGTAAATTCATTGTCTGGAGTTGTGAGTCTTTGTATGGCCTTAGTTGTAGTCCCATCTGGAGCCATATTATTAGGAATAAAGGTGCAACATTGTTTTCCTAACATGACCACCCCTCTCAGCTAGAATCATATCCTCAGCAATTTTGTTTTCCCAGGCCAAACTACTAGATCTAGTTAGCTGGTTGCTCCTTTTGGGACATTCCTGGTGTAGCTGATGAATCTCTGCTGATTATAATAAGTGCAATTAGTCTAATCTACATGCTTATTTACTCTCTGACATGTTCACAACTTCACAAGCCTATTTAACAATAGTATAAATTCCTGAGCACCCATAGTTTCTAAGTATTGCATCACACATAGACTGGGGTCCCCAGTGACTTCCTTTATGGAGTATAAACATTAGTTCTCTCATCATAGGTTTACTTATCATCTCTGCCCATGGAGTAGCATCCATCTTTGATCCTCAATCTGTATGGCCCCAATCTTGTCTAATTCTTTTTTTCTGTTCCCTGGTGAATTGGGGCTTTAACACTATCTTGGGGATATTTGGAGTTAGATTTAACATACTGATTTCCTCTTCCTGAGAGGCTTGTTCAGCAGCCTTATTGGCAAGCCTGCTTCCTATCTCCCCCATTCAGCTCCCTTTTTTGATGACCACTTATATGAACTGTAGCCACTTCTTCTGGATATAGGAGATTTTCCAGTATATTCTTGTTTGATCAATTCCCCATGTATTATTTTTTTCCTTTGCTATTTATGAGGCTTTACTCCATCCAGATCTTTCCAAAGGTGTGCACTACCCCATCAGTATATTTGGAATCAGTATATATTGTGCCTCCTTGGCCTTTAAGAAACTTTAGAGCCTGATTTAGAACATATAGTTTGCAAATTTTGTCTGACTAACTCTTCGATAATCTGCCCCCTTCACATAAAGAGTGTTTCTTTCCATTAATAATGGCATATCTGTTATGTCTTTTTCATTCTACAACTCAGGAGGATCCATCCACAAATAACTTAAGTTCATCATGGAAAAGGATCTCTCTTTGGTCTCATCTAACATTATTTTGATGTTCTGTGATGTCCAGGGAATCATGTCCTAGTATCTCTGGGTCTCCCTCTCCTCTCCATAAGCAGCTGGTCGGATTTAAGCAGGTGTCAGTTGTGAGGATTAGATCATCCCTTTCTAACAAAATAACTTCATATTTTAACATTCTGGAGTCCATCAGCCATTTCCTTTTTTTTAATTGAGGATGATTTTAATCTGATTTGGGAAGAGGGGTGGATAAGAGCAAATGTTTAAACTACAGGGAGTAACTTCTTAAATGTCAGTGCTTTCCAGAGTTAGCATAGTGAATTTCATACTTAACTATTTACCTTCCTCCCTTTTGTTTAGAGACCTTCTTAGATGCATGACCTAAGTCACATCTCCAGGATAAAAGACCTCTTGAAAATAAACTGCTTTTTTGTTTCTTACTTGGATGTGCTCTTTGCAGGGAACAAACATAGAGACCATGCTGTTCCTGACTGGGTGGCCTTAGCAGCAGTTCTTATCTCATTCCCCCACCCCAATGTCCAGGCAGCAAGAACTGGGGCATTTTCAATCACTCTGAGTTGGGCAGGTGTGTAAAAATCCATGTTGGATGGAAGATGTTGTTAATAACCTCTTGATTGGCGAAGACAGCTAAAATTCTAGAATTCCAGTGTGCTCAATTCATAATTATAATTTGGGACCTGGAGTCAATTTCTTCTGCCCTGGCTGGATTTAGTTCTGAGTCTGAGAAAGGGTCTGCAAACCTGAATCTAGAGTAAAATGTGCCCCTCCCAATACTGCCCCTCAGCCAGGGGTTCTGGAGCCAGATAATGGCAACCTGCTTGCTGGTGCCCCAGCTGCCTGACCTCAGACCTCTACTGGGTCCCAGTGCACACCACTCCCCTCCCCAGTTCAAGCCTACTATAGGCACAGACTGTGGAATGTGTGAGCCCAAACAGGATGCTCCACCCCTCTGGTTCTCTCTTTTGGGTGTGAATGAGGGGTTGGATAGGGGGCTCAGCCTTGTGCACCCTGCCCTACAGGAACCCAGCTGTGGAGTCTCAGCAACAGGCCCAGCTGGCCAGCCTCAATAGCTTGAAGGAGCAGCTGCAGCAACTTCTGGACCTCCAGAACAGCACCCTGACCAGCATCCACCACAGCCTGCAAGCTGCAAGCAACAGCTCCAGCCGAATGGAGCAGAAACAGCGTCAGCTCCTGGAGAACCTGCAGCAGCTCATGAGCCTGGGAGAGCAGGGACCAGGTGAGCAAGTAGGGTGTGCCAGGCAGGAGGCTGGAGAGAAGGGCAGGAGCCAGGAAGGAGCTCTCCTCAGTCTCCAGGGTCCCTCTGGGCTGGAATCCATTCTGGGAAAGGCCATACCCTCCTGGCCATCTGGACAAATAACAACAAGCAGTAATAATAATGGCCAGAACAATAGTTCCAAGAGAGGCAAATCCAGACTCTGTCTCCTGGCTCTACAGGTACCTGGGTTTGCCCAATTCCACCCGACTCGTGGCCTCAGTTTCCCCATCTGTTTAATGGAGGTGATGTGTTAACAAGGAAAGCAGAAGCCCAGCTGACAAATTTGGGTTCCAGAATTCAACCCTCAGCCCTGCTTGCATGGGCATATCCTACCCCTTCTTGGCCTCACTTTCACCGCAGAATTGGAGTGTGAGACTCAGTGCACTTCAAGGACTTCTCTGCTGTTAATGCACTACCCCAAAGTCCGAGAAGTGCTCCTCAGCACTCACTGCTGCCACAGAAGCCCACTTTGGGGCCAAGACTTCCTGATTCCAGCTTTACTTGCTCAGTCAACATATGTTGCTTCATCACCCACTGAGTACCAGTCCCAGAACTGGGTGCAAGGATCCAGCAGTGAACACAGGCTGGCCTGTCTCTTGCAAATGTACCCAGCTCCTCTGAGGCCTCAGAGGGAGGGAGGAAACACTTTTTTGAGGAAACACTTGCACACTACTGAGTGCGAGTTTCCTGCTAGCAGTGCTCATGAAGATCCATGGTAGAGCTGACCTAATGGGGAGTACTAAGTGAAGGGGACTTTCACCTGAGCCCAGAGGATGTTGTGGGTGGGACAGTGAGGGCCTCCTTTTAGGGAGTAGAGAATGGCTGGATAAGAGGGAAGTCAGAGAGGGGCTCCTCCTGCTGCTATTCAATCATGGGAGCCTAGGGAGCCTTCAAGTACAAGGAATCCAGCAATAATGATGGGAGTCCAGGCACCATGCTGATAGGGACTTGGTGAAAAGATCCCAGTGTTGCTCCACCCTAAGACCAGCAGACCCAAGGAAGCTAAGGCAGGCGAGCTGGGTGTCTTCTAAACCATGAGATGTGGAGTGACCAGAACCCATTAGGGGCCTGTGCCCTGCACTTTTAGTGAGGCTGCAGAATAAGCTCCATGTGTGGGACTTGTGGCTCAGCTCAAGCACAGGGCAGGAGACACCTCTCCTTGCAGGCTGGCACCTATTCTGGTCTTTGTTTTGACTGGCTGCTCACCTGTGTGGATGGGAGGTTGTATTAGCATGGGTTCATTTGGGGATCATTGCCTAGATGCCTTCCATTTGTCACTTGGGAAAGATGCATGTGAAGTGCTTTTCCCTCTGATGGAGACTCTGTCCCAAGGCAAAGAACCCAGGGTCAGGTGGCAGGAAGGGAGCATGGCCTTTCAGTGAAGTTTCAGCCCTGGGTCTGTCGCATGCTAACTCTGGCACTTTGCATTCTCCTTTAATTTCTCAGACCCTTGGTTTTCCTCACCTGTGAAATGGGATGATAACTTCACAGAGCTCTTGCATGAAGGATGAAATGAAGTCATGCATAGGAAAGGGCTTAGCCAAGGACCTGGAGTCAAAAGGGGGCGAGACAGGTACAGATTCCCAGCCCAGAGGCTCAGAGGGAGTCCAGGTAGGGTTTGCACTGTACTATGTATCCATGCAGTTCACCTTTTTTCTGTCCCACCTTTACTCCCAATCATTTTCCTAAACTCAAATGGGCACTGAAGAACCCTGTAATACAACAGTGGTGGTTATTTCACTTTGTTACTGTTATCATTGTTATTGCTATTATTCTTGTCTAAGGAAATTTGCAGTGCATGAGCCCTGAAAGGGTGGCTGGAGTTCTCAGGCCAGCTCCAGGATCAGCCTTTTCCTTGCCAGGGGAAGTGTGGCCCATCCTTTGTTGCTTTTAAGTCAGTGCCTTGCCCGTGCTTATCTAGATTCCAGTCCACTGGGCTATGGGAAGCTGGGGGCTGCTGGCAGGCGGGCAGTTGAGACCCCTGTCTGGGAACTGTTGTGCACAGGCTGAGATGGATATAGGTCCTAGTTCTCTCATTAGTAGTGTGGGCACAGCAGCCTCCTTCAGACAGGTGCCCCAGATGCAGGATTTGGGAGCCACTGTCCAGGCGTGAGGCCAAAACAGGGAGTCACATCCCCTGGTAGTCTCCTGGTCTCTCACTGGAATTGAGATTCATCCATCTGAACCTTAGCCCCATCCTTTGTGACCTGCTTACTCAGAGAGTTTGGCTTCTGGTGGAATCACAGACCACATCACTAATCAGATCCTTCTAAATGAGCTAGAGGCAGGCTTTCAAATCCAAAGCAGTTTATTTGTCATTAGTCACTTTCCTAAGGACCATTGGTGCTATTAGGTTCAGACCTTAAATCAATACTCTCCTGAGCTCAGAAAGATGGTCCAGAGAGATGAAACATGGGTTGTAGAGGCCAGTGGCCAGCTCCAAGGTGGGTAGAATGAGGGCCCTGAGCCCAGGGCCTCAGGGAAAGACAGGTGAAAGTTGAGCCAGGAGGAGAGCCCAAGGCCTCACACTCAAGAGAGTACCAAGAAGGGAGGACTATGTCCCAGCTGGCTGGGCGCCTGAATCCTGGGCCCTCAACTTACTGTTCTGTGGAATAGGAAGCTCCTTGCTAGACTGTGGGCTCCTCTTATGCTCTCTGAAGAGCCTAGCACCTCTTCTCTGGCCTCCCTGCTTTGAGGTGCCACCCCTGCAGCTCTCCTCTCACCACAGTGTGGTGAAGCCCAACCGACCTCCAAGGCTACGTGACAAAGTTCCAGCTTGGGGAAAGAAGGGTGGAGCACATCGTACCCTCGTGTTTTATTTTTTTCATGCCATAATGTTTAAAATTGTTACTCTGGTCACAGGAGTCACTGTGTTTGTGACTAACAACAAACTCTCCATAAGGCAAATTGGCAATGATGTATTGAAATCTGATCTGGCTCAAGAGTCCCAAATTCCTGTTTCTCTCAGTTCTATTGCCACACTCACCTCTAAAGAAACCTCTCCTAAAACTCCCTCCGTTTTCCCGCTATTGTAACCCCTTTCTTCTATTGATGACTTTCTTTTTACTAAAAGGGTCTTATAAAGAGACTGAAAGGACAGATTTTAGATGTAAGAAACAGTGGGAAATGGGAAATAGAAAGAAAGTTAAGACAGATAAATACACTAAGGAGGCAAGTTACTCAGTTTTTCTCAAAGTACTGTAAACATCTCCTGCTCATGGACCATGAACCCAAATAACACTTAAGTAAGATGAATAGAGGTATAGAAAAATAGAGAGCTAATAGCAAACTGTATTAGCCATTCTGCAGTTTCTCAAGGGCCAGCTGGTGACCACAAGTTTGACATTTAATTAACTAAATCTTGCTTGTACCCCCGCTGATATAGAGATTTTGATTAAGTTACTTTCTGTTCTGCTTAGGTGTGGGTAAATAAGGGGACAACTGTAATTTTTAAAATGTATTCATGATGTTCAATGAAATGAATCAGCTTAGGAAAAATATACTCTGTTTAGCAAAAAATAACCTTTACTTCAATAGAAATTGCTAAGGCAACCTAAAATGTAAACATGTTCCACCCAATGCCTCTTAGCTATTGCTCAAAGATATAAAAATAAATCAGACCCTGAGACTTCTCAGAGGGAACCTGAACATTGCTTGTGAAGGTTCTTTTCTCATTGCCGGCCCAGGACATCTCCCCTTCCTACCCTACATCGACTGCAGCTGGTCTGCGGCAACAGTGTTCTTCCTGGACAAGACAGTCTGGTCTCCTCAGCCTGGCACTCAGGGCCAACTGGCCCTGTTGAAATGGGCTGCTCTCTGTTCTCTTCCTTACTTACCCGCTCTGCTGGCCTTACCCTACCTCAAGCAGCCAGAACATTCTCTGGCTGAAGCTCCACTCTCATGGTATGTGTCAGTCCCAACTCCCATGCCCCTGTTCCCTGCTCACACCAGACCAGCCCCCTTGAGCCTTCACCATGATATTACCTCTGCTCTGACACCACTGTTGGGAATATGTCCTCAGACTAAATTTGTCAGCGCAGATAATAAAGCATTCAGACACCAAAAATTCTCAACAAGACAAGGTTTTACTTCTGAAGAAGGGCACGAGCACACTCTAGCATGAGGTAGCAGGCAAGCAGGGAGGCTGCAGCAGGTTTTTGTTTTTTTTTTAAATCCCTAATGCACAAGAAACAGCTGAATTTTTTCCCCTTTGGCTGGATTGAAGGTTCATAATCTATCCTGATAAGCTAATTTAAGAGGTATGAAGAGAGAACTGGTTCCTGGACAGGGTTGATAAGGGGAAGGAAGAGTGGGGCTATTGGAGATGGAAAGTCCCTGGCTGTTGAGAAGTTATCTTTGGCTGTCAGCTGTTCCCAAAATCTAAACTGAACAAACATTTTCCTTAACTTAGTGTGCTTAAAGAAAGAAAAAAGTGCAGGGAGGACACCCTAGAATAACCTACAGTTCAAGATGGAGACACTCTCGTTCATATTTGTGATAGAAAAGACAGGGCTAGGATTTCTCACATCACCACTTCACCACTTGGAACTCCTGCTCACTGTTTCCAGCTCACTTCTACCTCCTCTAGGAAACATTTCCAGGTCTGGATCATCTCACCTCCTGGTTGCTTCACCTCCCCAGCCAGGACCTGCACACAGCAGGCAGGCGAGCCCACTTTGTCTCTTCCCTATCCATGCTCATCTCTAGCTAACTTGCTTTGTCACAATGTTGCCTCCATAGGTGGAGCTGTGCTGGGGTTTCAGGACTGTGAGGACATCCACAGGTCTGGGATCAGTGTTGACAATGTCTACACCATCTTTGTGCCCAATGTGAAAGACCCCAAGAGGGTAAGCAGGGTCCTGGCATGGTGTGTGTGTGTGTGTGCGTGTGTGTGTGTGTGTGTGTGTGTGTGTGAATGTATCAGTGAATGCTGAGCCAGAACTCCCATAAGCATCAGGCTTTGTCCAGCAATGGAGATGCCAATGAAATGGGAGTGCCCTGCCTTGTGGAGCCCCCACCTAGGCAGGGGTCAGATCATGGAGTAAAGCAAAAGTCCAAAAGTAGAAGTGTCACTATTCAGACAGACCTCTAATTGAAGCACCAAGAGAGAGCTCTGTGCTGATTAATGTCATGGTCAGGGAATCAACAAGCAAATCCTAAATTCCAGGGGCTCAGAATAATGGAGTTTGTTTCTGGTTAAAGGGAGGATCTGGGGCTCTACTCTTTGCAGGAAATTAGAGACTAAGTCTAATGGAGACACCACCATCTTCAGTGAGCAGCTCCCAAGGTGGCCCTGAGCTCACAGGTCCAGTCGTCAGGTGGGGAGGGGTTGGAGGAGAGCAAGGTGTCAGGTAGGGATTGGGGCAGCCAGAAAGGGAAGAGAAAGGGAGCAGATGTCCAGAGGTCCTGCTCCAAAATTCCCTCTGCACTTTCCTTTTGACTTTCTGAATGTGTCATGGAAAGGCTCTGTTTGTCCCCAGAGTGTCTTTCACACTTCCCACACATTTGCTAAAGGGACCTTTTAACAAAAAGAGATCAGCTGAGAACCCTGTGTTGGCAAAATTTTCTACCTAAATTTCATAGCATTTTTTTTCATTACATTTATTTTAACAATCATCTGAATAAAGACAAGTGTTACTACTTTTCTTTTTTTTCCATTTAGTTTATTTGTACATTTTAGGTATAAAATACAGTTACATTCATCATTGAGATCTTGTACCTTTACATGACATATCTTGGTTCTTATTTTTTCTCCATATCCCTGCCCTCCCTTCACCCCCTCCAACCTTCCCTATTTACAAAGACTTTGTTTCCATTTTTTCCCTGTTCTCGTATTTTTCTTTTCCCTTCTTTCCGTTCCCCTAACCCTCCCACTTCCCCTACTCCTTTAGATCTTTTCTTCCTGTTATACAATATCAATTATACATTTTTTAAAAATTACAATATCAAGATTTAGAGGACATTGCCACAGATTTTACAGAATTTAAAAGGATATAGAAAGCATATTACAAAAATCTTTTTTGAAATAAATTT